AGGGGGGGTTTAGGCCTTTCCAACAATCGCCGAGGCGGTTCTCGACCGAAGTGCAACTTAAAGTCAAGGAAGAAATTGAACGGCTCCTTGAAGCCGGCTTCATCCGAACGGCTCGATACGTTGAGTGGTTGGCCAACATCGTACCAGTTTTGAAGAAGACTGGGGCTTTGAGGGTTTGCACCGATTACAGAAATCTGAATCTCGCGACCCCCAAGGACGAGTACCCCATGCCTATGTCAGACCTCCTGGTAGACGGAGCCGCGAAGCAGGAGCTCTTATCTTTTATGGATGGCCATGCTGGCTATAACCAAATCTTCATAGCCGAGGAAGATGTCCACAAGCCGGCGTTCAGATGTCCAGGCGCAACCGGGACGTATGAATGGGTGGTCATGCCGTTCGGCCTGAAGAATGCCGGCACGACATACCAACGAGCTATGAACCTTATTTTCCACGACCTTATCGGCCGAACCGTTGAAGTCTATATCGACGACGTGGTTGTAAAGTCCCCATCCAAAGCCGACCATGTAGGGCATCTCCGACAGGCTTTTAACCGAATGCGAGCGCATGGCCTAAAGATGAATCCTAAGAAATGTGCTTTCGGCGTCACTGCTGGGAACGTCCTCGGTTTCTTGGTTCACAAACGAGGGATCGAGGTAGATAAAAATAAAGCTATGGCCATTATGGCGGCACCTCCGCTAAGGACCAAGAAGGAACTCCAGTCCTTCCTCGGTAAGGTCAACTTTTTAAGGCGGTTCATATCCAATTTGGCAGGGAAAATCCGGCGTTGACTCCTTTGCTCAAGCTAAAAGACACGAAACGGTTCGAATGGGGGGCAGAACATCAAGCGGCCCTCGACGACATCAAGAAATATTTATCTCAGCCACCGGTCCTTATGCCTCCGAAAAGAAGGAAACCCTTGAGGCTTTACATTTCGGCTTCAAAGGGCTCTATCGGTTGTCTACTGGCTCAGAACAATGAGTCTGAACGAGAACAAGCAGTGCACTATCTGAGCTACACCCTTAACATGGCCGAGCTAAACTATTCGCCGATCGAGAAACTATGATTGGCACTTCATTTCGCGGCTACCAAGTTGCGCCCTTATATGCTTCCTTCGGTCGTTCAGATCATCTCCAAGACCGATCTCATCAAATATATGCTCACTTGGCCGATCATACGCGGCCGAATCGGGAAGTGGACGATGGCATTATCCGAATTCACCTTCTAATATGTGGCTCATAAGTCGGTCAAAGGTCAGGCATTGGTCGATTTCTTGGCTCACCACCCGGCTCAGGGGCCGGAAGAGGAGTTGGAGGTCGAGATTGGCATGGCCCGCATGGAAAAGAATTACTAGACCATGTACTTCGACGGCTCCAGTACCGAGGCTAGATCTGGGGCCAGAGTCGTGATCGAGTCCCCTCAAGGGCAAAGGTGGCAATTTGCGTTCCAGCTTGATTTCAAATGCACCAATAATCAGGCCGAATACGAAGCGCTCATCATCGGTCTCGAAATTCTGAAAGAAATGAAGGCGACCCGTGTCTTGGTCTATGGTGATTCTCAGCTGGTAATTCATCAACTGACCGGGGAATACCAGTGCACGAGCGAGAATCTTACTATGTATTATGTAACGGCCCTCAATACGGTCGACGGGTTTTCTAGGATCTCCTTTGTTCACGTACCGGGCGCCGGAAACAATGAGGCCAATGAGATGGCCCAGGTGGCGTCAGGCATGAATATTCCGGACGGTGATCCCGATCGTATAATAAGAATCGAGAGGCGTACTTTGCCGGCTTTGGCCGAACGGGGAATGACAACACAAGTGTCATCGGCCGAGATCACCGACGAAATCAGCACGGCCGAAGCCGACTGGCGCTACCCCATAGTGAACTATTTGCGCAACCCCTCCGACAGCCATGAGAGGACTACACGTTTCCGGGCCCGGTGTTATTTGATCTATCAAAACGAGCTGTATCGAAAAGGATCGGACGGCTTATTGCTCCTATGTCCCAGCGCCAAGGACATCACGGTCATCATGACCGAATCTCACGAAGGGATTTGCGGTGCTCACCAGTCTGGCGTCAAGATGAGGTGGTTGGTTCGGAGGCACGGCTATTATTGGCCGACCATTTTGAAGGACTGCATAGAATATGAGAAGAGGTGTATCAAGTGTCAAATCTACGGCCCTATACAAAGGGTACTGGCCGAAGCCCTCCACCCGGTCACTAAACCATGGCCGTTCAGAGGGTGGGCCGTGGATATCATCGGCAAAATCTATCCGGCCGCGTCCAACCAACACGCATGGATTTTGGTGGCGACCGACTATTTTACTAAATGGGTCGAGGCGGAGTCCTATCGGTCAATTTCTACCACACAGGTGGTCAAATTCTTCGAGAATCACATCATTCACAGATTCGGTATACCTGAGACTATCACAGCCGATAACGGCCCAGTTTTCGCATCGGCCGAAACTCGGGAGTACACCGAAAGGATGGGGATCAAGTTGGTTCACTCAACACCTTACTACCCCCAGTCTAACGGACAGGCCGAGGTGAGTAATAAGGTAATCAAGGGCATCCTTGAAAAAATGATTGAGGAAAAACCTAGGGCAGGGCACGATTTACTCCCAGCTATCAGAACCATAAATGCGTCTCCATTGCCAGAGGCGCAGAACCCACGATCAGGGTGGCGGCTGAGATTTGCCAGGATTTATGGGGTCACACCACCATGCTTCACGATCCCAAATGTCGATTGGACTACNNAGCTACATTCAAAGGGTTCAAACACCAAACCAAAAGCCTCCCACGGAGCAAATTATATTTTCCTGTAATGCACTTTCATTATCTTTACTTGCTTTCCTAGGAGTTGTGTTAGATTGTTAGGAGAATCCGTTCATCAATATATCATACGACCCTTGATTTTCAAGGTGCCGGAGCACCATTTCTGTTACTCTTTCATTCATCCCATATATCATACGACCGTCGCTCCCTGAGCAGCGCGCTAGGGCAACGCCCAAAATCCACCATCAACACCACCATTAAACGGCCTTGTAGCTCAGGCCGTGAACTTGACGGCCGTGAACTTGACGGCCGAGATCAGTTCCTCTCTCGGCCACAATCGTTTGATTAGAAGTCAAACTCAAACAGGCGCACCATTTAACCACTCCATCCACATCACCATCTCGACGCACGGTAGACCGTGCTGGCACGCCCGCGCACAACCGCACCGCATCCAAAAGAAGGACGCCACCTGTTAACGCATTTCCCCTCCGCCCGGAGCACCAGGCCGTGAGATTTGCGCAGCCAACAACATCATCTTGCTATGCAAAAGTGGGTTAGCTTAAAAAACCCATCTCTTCATATTGAAACAGTGGTAGATAAGCAATCAAAGCAACAAGTGATGGGCAATCGGTTGCAACTTACTACTACAGTAGAGGGCATTAGATATCTAGTAAATCAAGCATTGGCTTTTCGAGGTCATGATAAATCCGTTGACTCATCTAACCGGGGAAATTTCATTGAAATCTTAAAGTCTTTTGCAAGAATGAATATAGAAGTTGAGAAGTTGTCCTAGATAAGGCTTCTCATAATGCCCCGTATATTGTTCATGTTATACAAAAACAGATCTTGCGTATTTTTGATGAATATGTAGACAACTTGGGAAGAACAAATGGCTACTATTCTAAGATTTGTTGATTGTGATGGATTTATTCGTGAATGCTTTTTCGATATTGTGAGTGTTATAGACACTAATGCCTTGACTCTTAAACTAGAGTTATGCAAAGTGCTTGATAATAACGGTATTCTAGTAGAAAACATGTGTGGCCAAGGGTATAATGATGTAGTAATATGCGTGGTTCATGGAATTGTAACATCTCGACCCAAAAATAATAATGTTTTTGAATTAAATTAAATTTAATGTGAAATTACAATTTTACCCCCAAGGTAGGGGTAATTTGGTGACTTTTTGATCTGGAAGGTTTTTGGAGCAGTGAATTGCTCCAGATGTTGTTCCCCCGATGTGAAACTAGTTGGTTCCGTAGTTTTAAAATTCTGTTGATCCCAAGTACTCCATCTCCATCATTGCATATGGGAAGATAGAAAGTAAAGAGGAAAAGGCAGGACCAGAAGAATTGTGTGAAATAAGTGAATTTATCCAGTTGAGGCATTCTTGATTTAGAAAAAATGATTCCCTCCAAAAAAAAAGTGGTTCTTACCTTCCTGTACGAGTAATGAAGAACTATAGAGAGCTATGGTTGGTTGTTGACCAACGGAAAGCATGGGAGAAAGAATTTTATGTAGGTTGTATAGAGACAAGTCTGTAGACACGCGGTAGGCTTGAATCGGAGTTGTAATGACAAGACCCGCCCCGAATTCCTCGGAACCCGAGACGAATCCTATGGAAATTTTTCGACATCACATCGATGTCGGGCCCACTTACTAAGAACCGAGACTTTCTACCGAAAATACGGCAAAGTCTCCTCTGAAAATTGGACTTTTCCCCAAATTTTCAACTTGTTAAACGCACATTTAAAACACCAACTGGTAACATGCACAAGTTAACAACATGCAATTTCATAATAGGCCTCCGGCCTTCAAATGGTTCAAAACAAAACCAACAATTAATGATCTCAAACAACTATACGAATACCCCCAAAATCAATAAACCGGATTCAAATCCAATAACCACATCAGAATCCAATCACATACACAGAATCGATCAAACCTTTTAAACACAATATAATTCGCGACTGCACCTAGGTGAGACCCCAGGCTACCTACGTACCATTGGGCAAGGGATCAAGCCACACGTAGTTCTTATATCAATGGTCACAACTCCGATTCCGATGAAACAAAATAAACACATTCTCAAACTCTTTCTTTATAACAGTTCAACCCCGTAACCATACCCTATCCAAGGCGTATGTACATTGAACACATTATCAATTTCTTCCCTTTATATCAGTTCAATCCCGCAACCATACCCTATCCAAGGCGTATGGTGCCGAACAACACTTCCCAATCTAGGGCTTAAACATTCATATATGTACAGGGTACTCACAAAGTACAAACTCACGGATCTCAAACCAGAATCAAAACCACATATACCAACATGTAACATGCATGCCTATAAATAAAAATATATATAAATATATATAGATCTATAACTGCACCCACCTCTCGCCATCATAATGTACCAGGGGAAAACAATCCAACCGGGGCTTGTTTGACTGTCCACATGTCACCGCCCTAAAATGACCATGTGGCTAGGGACGAGCCGTCCAACTGGGGGACTAACACTCACCCAGCACGTACGGATGAAGAATCAAGACCCGTACGCTTGGAACAGTCCTACGCGCGCAGACTACCCAATCAAGGGTCTACAGCGACACCCCGTTAAGGTATGCCCCAGGTTTCGTCATATCCATGTATCCATATCCATTGTATCCAAGTACCAAATATCCAAGGGGACGTACATGTGATGATACACATCATGTACTGAGGAAAACAATCCAACCGAGGATTGTTTGACTATCCACATGTTACCACCCTTAAATGACCATGTGGCTAGAGACGAGCCGTACAACTGGGGGACTGACACTCACCCAGCACGTACGGACGAAGAATCAAGACCCGTACGCCTGGAACAATCCTACGAGCGCAGACTACCCAATCAAGGGTCTACAACAACATCCCGTCAAGGATGCCCCGGGTTCCGTCATATCCAGACCATATCCATCATATCCATGTATTAGTATCCAAGGGGAGGTACATGTGATGTTGCACATCATGTACTGGGGAAAACAATCCAACCGGGGATCGTCTGACTAGTCCACATTTAACAGCCCTCAAACGACATGTGGCTAGGGACGAGCCGTCCAACTGGGGGACTAACTCTCAGCCAGCACGTACGGACGAAGAATCAAGACCCGTACGTCTGTAAACAGTCCTACGAGCGCAGACTACCCTGTTAAGGGTCCTTGAACCCCTGATCAAGGGCGTCCGAGTGCCAACATATTCAAACCATATTCACAATTTTTCCGGCGTCCCACAATTCCAGGATCCGTGACCAAGAAAGCCCACACGCCCGAAACACGGCACGTGTGTAAATAGTAACCAGGGAAGGTACGTATGATGGTGGAGTTCGTAACCCTTTTAATCATATTTTAAAATGATATTTCCTTCCTTAATTCAATTTTTCCCAAGGCATCGTATTAAGAAGACATCCGAAGGGCCTGGACAAACTCCAACGGGCCTGGGCAAAATAAATCATCTGAAAGGCTTGGACAAACTCCGACGGGCCTAGGCAAAATAAATCAATCTCCGAAGGGCCTGGACAAACTCCGACGGGCCTAGGCAAGATAAATCAATCTCCAAAGGGCCTGGGCAAACTCCGACGGGCCTGGGCAAAATGAACTCTCAAACATAAAACCCATAACCGGGGAGGTACCTAAGGTAGTGCTAATAGCATTCAAATTAACATTCTAAGTACCCCACACAAAATCAACAAGGATAGTACTTTCTCAAATATTATATAAAACTTCAAGAAACTCGAATATTAACAATAATAGGATTACTCACAGATTAACAATCTACTTATAAATATAAATATAAATCTCATAACAAACCATTAAAACAATATGCATAAACTTTCCATCACAAAATCCTAAAAATAATCTCTTAGACCCACATACTCAACATAAATCAAATGACGGTCAAGACCCGTCCGAAATGGTCGTTCTAGTACTCTTCGAAGAGTAAACTACCTCGGAAGACTTACGGTCAACCGAGGGTCAAACCTTCCAAATTTGGTCAACCGGGCCCGCAGGCCTCACAACTTCCGTTTTATGATCCAAAAGTTCCTATGGGTTCCACCAGGTCTAGGAAATGCAACCATCAGTTAGATAAGGACAAATAGATGAAAATCCATACCTTATACGTCCAATTTGGTGGAGAAATGAGAGAGAACGAAGGCTTGGAATTTCTGTCAAAATCCGGCGCGATTTTGACGGATTCCGGTGGCTGATGGCAGTTCTAGGGGCTGGGAATGGTCAGGAAAGGAAGAGGAGGCGGTGGGGTGTTTGGTCTTGGCCGGACCCGTGGCCGGTGGTCGGGTGTGGAGGCGGCGGCAGCTCTTGGAAGCTGCCGGCTGTGTTGAAAAATGAGGGGGGAGGGGCTGGGTCGCGGGGAGAGAGAGAGAGAGAGAGAAATGATGGGTTTTCTGTTTTTTAATTAAAATCAAATTTCAACTTATTTACGATTATGCCACTGGTGATGTTTTGCTCGTAACTTTCTCGTTACAACTCCGATTCAAACCTACCACATGTCTGCGGATTCGTCTCAATATGACCTACGTAAAGGTACCAGCCACTGCCCCGAAATCCTTCCGAATTAAAATGACCATTTTGCCCCTACCCCGAGGGCAAAATTGGAAATTCATATTTAAATAGATTAAATAATTTGGTGGCAAAATAATTTAGGGTCGGGGTGTTACATGTAACGAGAACGTTAAGATTGAAAAACATTCAGTGACATAACTGTAAATTTTTCAGAGTTGGATTTT